GACCTTTTTCAAGCAATCCCGCAACACCCCGCAGGCGCGGAGCGCTATGTGAAAAGTTAGAACTGGCTTTTCTTCCGCCCACTGTTCGTTGGTGCCGTGCGAGAACAAAATGAAAAGAACATGTCGCCGCTTGTTGAATAGGATCCAAACGCACTTGCGTGTATCTGGGCGTGAAATGCGAAATGAATAACGCAGTCAGTGCAGGTCTCACTGGATAGGGGTACATCGGTTGTAGAAGATAAGCGGCATGCAAGTTGTAGCGTACCGATACATGTATTCAAAACATGCTATTGTCAGGTTGTGGGATCGAATCCCGGCTGGGCCTGCTGCATTTCTGGTGGAGGCGGAAAGGTTGTAGGCCCGTATGCTCAGATTTGGGCGCACGTTAAAGAACCCCAGGTGGTCGAAATTTTCGGAGCACTTCACTACGGCGTCTCTCATAATCATACGGTGGTTTTGGGACGTTAAATTCCGCATATCAATCAAATCAAAACATGCTATTGTGAGCAATGTGAGCTGGAACACTGAATTCATAGTTATCAAACAATGAACTGCTCATAATGTATTATGGCTTTTATTACTATCGTGGTTTGGTTGGGCCGTTAACACAAGACCGCAGAGTAGTGTTGGGCACATTACATAAGCAAAGAACTTGGCACATTAGATAAGCAATATTTTCTAGCTGCAAGAAGGTGTGGTGTCCTGCTTATATTACATTGCGTGGTTTGGGAACACTCATTCGCACTGCAAGTAAAGATTAATTCGAACGACCTTCATCGACGAAGAAACTAGGAATCTTGCAGTTATATCATGCATACGTTCTGCACAGTCTTGAAAGTAGAAAAGCAACACATGGTGAGGGTTCTCTTTTCCACGCCATATGCTTAGTAACATTTGTACTGTAGAGCGTGAAAGGTCGCAAGGGTCTGAAGAGGGCAGAAAAAAGTACTATGAGAGTCATGCCAATAGTTCTTTCAAATGTTGTGCAAGAGTGGCTAACCGAATTCGTCTTTGTGTTCACATATACAGGGTGCACCAGCCAGCTTAGCCAGAGTTTAAAAATATGCTGACTGTTGCCTGGAGTGAGTCAGACTGTTCTTTGTGTTCTGATTAAGTGCCTAATTAGGTCACTTTTACTAACTAACTTAAGCAACAAAAGTGGGCTGGACATTCCAATGAGAAATTTGTTCATTGGTTTGCAAAGCATCCAAATAGACAGTTTCAAGCTTTATATCTGTTAATTTTTAGTGTCTTTCTATTAACTGCAAACACCCGCAAAATGCAAAAAATACCACGTGACAAGCCCACTGGTGCGCCAGTGTGCATAATGATTCTAGTGATCCCTAACATTTCACGTATGAACCATAGCATTTGCCTGATTGTGCTGTCTCGATAGGGTCGTAACGATGGTGGTGGCTTTGCGATTAACAAGTTTCGCTATCGGCCACGAAAGCGATAACCGCTGTGACTGCTTGCCACTGTTATGAACCAGTGCGAAGAAAGCGTATCGTTCATAAGCGGAACGGTAGTGAGCACCAGAATCTCCGCGCGCATAGGCGCGCCAATGGGTTTGTCAAATGGTATTGCTTTGTATTTCGTGAGCATTTGTAGTTAGCAGAAAAACACTAATAAAACAGTTGTAAAGTTCTATACTGTCTAATCAGACAGTTTTCATACTGATCTGCACCTTTCTCATTGAAATTTTCTACCTATCTTCGTTATTTCAGAAGTTAGTTAAAATGGTCCGTTTACTCCAGACAGCGGTCAAAAACATAGATTTGGTGGCATCGTAATTGTGCGTGTCGCATATTTTAATACTCTGGCTAAAGATAGCTGGGACACCCTGCATACATCGGTCAGACTGGTTGATGTATTAGCACGCCTGTCAAGAGAGCATCAACATTCATTGGATGAAGCCATCTCATCGTTCCTCGCATTTTCAGTCATGCAAATGCAATTTCATCTTTGAAGGCCTAGTAATCTTGCACAGTCACTAACCGGGCCATGCGAGAAATCTCCGAGACATATAATAAAGAACATCGCACCTTGTTTAAGTCAATTAACCTTCGCTATATTCACAACACAAGACACTTAACTTCATTAATGAACTGTAAACATTCGCCTCGGCTGTTAGTTTTTTTTGTACTTCTTTGTGACATGCGCGTTGACATGTTTGTTAACACGTTCAATAACCTTTCAGTCATGAGTGAGCATTTACTGTGTGCATATTTCTTTTCTGATCCTACTTCTATATTTTTGCCTTGTAGGCTTTCCAATCTGCAGTTACAGTGCCAGGGAAAGTTGGTAGACGCGTATGCTGCAAGCGGCGTGCAGTGGTCTAGTCACTGTATTTTATTTTACGAAATTGCACTAGTTTTTAAAGCACTCTTTAAGTATACCAGAGTTGTACAATTAAGTTGTTAACATTTTCAAAGGACATTGATTCCTGATGCATCCGGGAATTTATGGATAGTGTTTACACCTTTTATGCAATCATTGTACTATTTTTTATTTATGCCGAAGGCAGACTGGCCGTAAAGGATAATAATAATTAACTGACGCTTCTGAGCCGCTGAGCTGGTTGAACAGGGGACAAGTGCAAATCGTTGACAGGCCGTCGCACCCAAATGCAGAAGTTTGTGAGTGAATCATGCGGTCATATATCACACCTTGCCAAGCTCACTTAATTTGAGAAGCGCTGGCACAGTGCAAACGGAAAGTTGAAGCGTGAGTGAGGCCCACTCGCTTGTCGCGGTGGCTGCTGCGGCTTACCAACTTTTCCCATAAGTGCTTGCACGCTCGTTGGCGGAGTTAGTGGCGCTAGTGTCCTTGAAAAAAGTCTGTTTCCCCGCGCAACGGCTACCGAATTTTCATATCTTTTCAATTACCCAGCTGCAATGTCGTAAGTACTGGCGACAGCTAGTTGCTTGAGTGCTGTACATGGACGCCTTTGTTTTCATTGATGATGCGAGTCGTTGCTTTCAGAATCAAAAATTTGTTTCCATGGATCCACCTCTTTCAGAACGTAACCACTACAACGCTTTATGTTGACTTGTTACCAAACCACACATCTGCATCCACTGACTATGGCAGTTACGCGGTTAATACTTAGTCTGTAGGTTTGAAACTTGGCATGCCGCCCCAGTAAGCTTGCCCTAAATAATATGAAATGGGTTGCAAAAGGAGATTGCACTTATGAGCTCAACAAAAGGCATCATGGGTAAAACCAAGCTTCGTTCCACGGTCGGGAAAACAGCCGTGAACCAAGGCCTTTTTATTTGCAGAACACTGCTGCCTACACTGATGGTGGAATTGAGGACTCACTCGCAATATCTGCACTCTATGACGACGTAACTATTTTCAGGAGAAAAAGTCAGTTTCACTGCTAAGGTGAAGCAATGAATGCGACAGCATCAAATTGTAGTGTTGTTTGATGAAGTTGGCGGCTAACTCCTTTGGATGCGATCTCACGCAACGCTTGTGTTAGAGAAAACGGCCACTCAAGGCACACCTTTAGCGCTGCGTCGTCATGTTGGGAGCGTAGCACGTAGAAGGGTATGCGAAATGCCAGCTGATGGCTGCCGAGGTAGCCAGATAACGCTCGCGCCAGCAACGGCCGGTCATGCTCTTTAGACTTAAGAGACGGGCGGGGCGTTTCTTCTCTGCTTGAGAATTTTCGACTGGTCTAACAGGTGATGGATCTTATCGCATGCGTTTCGGAGCAACGAAGATGGGCCAGCTTGTTTGATCTCTGCTTCAGCCACGTTCGGCACCCGTGCTTGTGTGCTATTACTTGCTGGTAGAACGTAGGATGTGCTGGGGTTCTTATTAATTCGGGCTATATACGTGATCTATAGGCAACGGCAACAGTCAAAAGTCGTTGGGACTGTCCCTATAATAAAAGCCGACCGGCGGTACTAAGCAGCTGACGCGGGCACCCGTTCATGCAAAGTGTGTGCACAGAACAGGAGGAGTGAAATTGTATCCAGCGCCTGACAATCTTTTCTCAAAGCACGTGCCCACGTCTTCGCGACGCATTTTCTTTTTGTTTGTTTGTTTCTACATCCCAGTCCCGCCCTATTCACGCCCCCTTCTCTGTAATGCCTTCATCGCCCTTTCCTTCATTGGCGAACATTCGTTGTGAAGTGCAGCGCGTTATCACTTATGTGGCGCATTATAACTGGACTTTCATCTGAGGTATACGTGGTGCTCTATGGGAAGACAAACGGAAGTAAGAAACCACTGCATAATGGCATTCGTGCACTATAAGCAGTTAGGCTATAAGTTATCCGAGCTGTACATTCATGTAAATTTTTATGAAATGCTACTTAGTTGCCAATTATTTAGCTGTTGTGGTTCTCACTAGTTCAAATTTTTCATTTGACAATGAGTCTTTTGAGGCTCCAAAGGCCTTTTTTTCTGTTCTCAAAACCCCTGTGATTGCTTTTGATTCCTTTTTTTTTTTCCCCTACTCCAATGTACACTTTCGGCTTATCCGAAAGCACTTTTCCATTCCTTAAAATCCACTTTTACCTGCTCCGACAGCCTTTTTTCCTGCTACAAAACTCAATTTCAGCAGATCTGAAAACCTGCTTCAAGATGGCTTCAGCCACTCGCATCACTGGAGGGGCCTATACTTCTGTCTTTATGACACTTCAGTGCCACATTTTTTTTTTTTTTTTTTTTTTTTTTTGAGAATTTGTACTCTAATTGTGGCTGCTTAGGAGCAGCTATTGATATGAAGTATTCACTGTAGACCTACACTGTTCTGCTTCTGCAGTTTGTGTGAAGCTTGCTATTGCATAAAAACAACTTACGTGTGCATTTTGTTTTTATTATATCTTGAAAGGGAGTAGCATATGAATGTGTAGCTTTATTTTGTTGATGGTTTACCAACAATTCATCATAAATTGATGCAGCAAACTTTAGCACATCTCTTGTGCCTCTGACAGCTTCCGTAAAGAAGTGTGGAAACATTTTTATGTACTGTGTTCATGCAGGATCACGATGCTCACGGATCTGAATTTCATAAGCACATGGAACGTATAAACAGAGCAAGTGGAGCCCATATAACCGTGAGCTGGCTTGTGAATCTTGTAATTACATACCATAAAATTCCAGGTACCTAGTCCCACACCCACCACCTTGAAATTGACTTTCCAAAGAAGGGGAGAAGGACTGAACAGCACTAGTCTTGAAGATGGTGGCAGCTAAGTTTTCCTGCCAGGGAAAAAAAGAGTGCATATGGACATTCTCAGAAGCCTTCTGGCTCTTGTTCATCGCACAGCACATTGCAGTGGCAGTTTTCTAACATGAGAAACTCTAAAGCCATATGATCAAACCACGGGAAGCACAGCATGAAAGTACCTCTTTTGAAGAGCAAATGTAATAGCTCTTTCTCATACATCTTGTGAAGGCCATGCTTTTGCTCGCGCAAAATATATCATTGTAATGGGTGGTGTGTGCCCAGTTCAGGTCGGGATTCTCATGGTTTTTGTTGTATATTTGTGAGTTTGTCAATGTCAAAGTAGCATTTCACCATGAATGTTTAACGTATAATGACCTTTATCAAAATGGGTTTAGAACATCTATTTCTGTTGTACTACACACAGTTCTGATTATTGTGATACACTGATATACTTTGTATATCTTTTTGTTTAGGAAAATTTTAGCTCCCCAGAAGGCACTGGAAATATTTTGTGTTGTAAAAACTACACATTATACTTCGAAAATTGTTTTATATTTAACATCATTAGGCAAATATACATAAATGCTATAAGTTTCATCAAAGTTGATCAAAAAATAATAGAAGAAAAACTACCATGCCTCCCCCACCACCACCACCAGCACATTTTAATATGCAATATTTACGTGCAATCTACTTTGAGAATCCTGTAAAAAATCATGTTTTCCTACAGTATTGAAAATGTTGTAAAAATCGCACAATATGGTCCAAGGATTCTCGTTTTTCATACAACTTTCTCATGGTGCTCAAAATAAGGGCATGCGAGTTGTTCACATATTTTGTGTTCACATCTTTTTTTTTTTTTTTGGACCAGGTGTACCACAACTTTCATGATGAGGTGGCAAGCTATCGTACTCACTGGTGGCGTTGTGACGGCCCCTGCCAGCATCGAAGGCCCTTCTTTGGGATTGTCAAGCGGGCCATGAACCGGGCACCATCTGACAAAGATCCCTGGTGGGCTGACCACCTGCGCACCTGTGGCGGCAGATTTACAAAGATACGTGAACCTGAGCCAAAGATTCCCAAGAACAAAAAGAGAGATGGTGTTTTGCCTGGCAGTAATGGTTAGCAAGCAGTTTCTTTTTTCATTATATATAGTTTGTTAACTTATGTATGCATGAGCCTCTCAGTGATATAGTGTCCAACTGCTGAGCTTCAGATGGCTTGCTTGGCCCCATGGTCTAGTTTTCTCCAATCATTATTAATTGATAAATCCTAATGTCTTGGCATAAAGAAGTATTGACACAAATAGTGGGGGAGGGGCTTGCTCAGTATTTCTCTGTAGATCCTACCTCCAGAAGTTAGGCTTTGTGACTATGTTAACCTAGTTATGCATCTGAAAGGGCTAGTGACCAATCTCAAGGTTCAAAAATTGTTATGAAGAAAAATATGCACACGTTTGCTGTGTGAACATCGTGCCGCAATAATTTTGCAAATTTGTGCTATAATAGGGAAGTTACAGAAATTAGAACATTCGTTTCAGCTGGTTTCAAATTTTTGCACGTCCTCGCAACCCTTTTTCCTCATAGGTAGAGGAAAGGCATAGCCTGTTGTTGTGACTCCGCTTGGGCAACGTGACACGACGTCAGTGATATGTCATCGGCACGCAGCCAACGATCGAGCAAGGCATACCCGAAATGAGCACGTGTCAGAGTGGCGTGGGGAGGAAACGTGGTTTGAGGAGCACCCTTCCCTTAGCAGTAAAGTTGCGAGACGCCTGTTTATCTGAAAGGCTTTCATTCTGACAATGCTGCTTCTCCTGGTAGTCTCAGGCTTTACAAAATGACCCAGGGCAGCATCTCAGAGGCTTTCATTCTGGCAGTGCTGCTTCTCCCGGTAGTATCGGGCTCTAAAAAATGACAGAGGCCAGCACAGGAAAATTTAAATGTGGACCCTGTGGTTGAAACTGTGTCACCACAGGGCCAAGGAGCCATTTCCCAAGGCAGAGGGCTAATCGACGAGCTCAGTCGTATTTCAAGTTGCCCATGGTCAAGCTTGCATGTGTGACTGTGTATACGAGGGGTTTGTTCAGAAGGGGAGAGGTGCTGGAACTGCTTTTCGAAATGGAGGGTCTGCACGGTGCTGTAATATTCAGAAAATGTGATCGCCGTAGTCTAGCTTATTTGGGGGGTTTAAAGGACCCCTGACAGCGAAACTTTTGTTTGGAACTTTTTTACAGTGATTTGTAGCTTTGTGTATGGTAATGCCAAAATTGAATTGTAAATGCTCTAACGCGTTAGCATCGCTAATTCTGAATGATTTTGCGTCAGTTCGCAACGCCCACCTAAATAGTACTATAAGAAACTAGCGCCTCATAGCAGAGCAGTGCCTGAGAGTATGTGCACTCAAGTTATGGTGACTCTGAACGCGCTGTTCTCAAATGGGGGTAGCTGCAGGTGGTGAAGAATGAAACAATGTAGATGTTTCAAGTGTTTTTCCCTCAGAAAAAAAGAAAAGCATTCCTGGCTTAAGCAGCCAAAACCACCTTGAGACCAGCCCAACAATCTAACGAGAGGGGTGACGAGTCCTCGCCGGGGTATTGTTTGCGCGACCCGTAAATGTTCTCTGATGCCAGCAATATTTGCTTTATCTTCGTGACGTCCCGAGTGGACCTCCTATCTACGTCAAACCATGGAAAATGTCCATTGCACCTCAATAGTATGACAAGCAGGCACCCTTACTTTAAAACCAAATTAAAATATCTTATAGGCAACACTCATCACTAGAGGCCGCTTGTTTAGGCACTTAAAAAGTGTGTTTTAGGTGCCTAAGACAGGCAGGTAAAACACCGTTTTACCTCAAAATTATAATTATAGGCAGAATAAATTTCTACAAAAATTGAAATATACCAAAGCAACAACGTAGGTGACTTGTATCTACGGCAAGAAGAAAAAAAAAAAAAGATTTTGTTTAAGATGGCAGAAATGGACCGATTGAACATAGGCATTCATTTCCTGTGCGATTCGCAGTATGCGGTTTTTCGTTTTGTCTAGCATTGTGCATCAAGTTTCCATCATTCAATTAACACTCTCCTGGGTCTCTTTTGTTTCGTTGTGGCTGGGAAGGGCAGCGCAGGAGCAAATAACCAGACCACTGATACCCCAGAAGAGAGGTATGAATCGCGTAGGACCAATTTCTCTCCTATCGGTGAACACCTTGAAGGGCCCCTCATTAGGTTTGGGCATTTCGAGCTGACAAGCATAATGGTGCACTGGGCATTCTGGATCATTCCTGTTGAGATTTCCAAATGACATGTCGTGGAAAAATGCTCAATTTCTAATGAATGCCACTTGCCCTTCTTGCGGGCGTGCGCCCCTAGATCTAGGGAGAGACTTACAGCAAGGAATGGTGTCCTGCTTTTACGTCACTTTTTTACGTTGACATTGGTGGGCTGACGTCCCATACTTTACGCTCTTTATCATAACTTCGTATATATATCTAAAAAAAACAGACGAAAAGTGTCCCTTATCCTGATTATATCCTGCATTTTAAACGGTACCTCATTAAGAGCGTTGCACGTGACATTACTCTACTTGGCGTGTGCAATTTCTGTGTTCTGTTGTGTAGCATGAATGAGGAGTACTTTGGTTTGGGCTAGCTGCTTCATATCATTTTGAAAGGGTAGCGCAAAGACAAAGGAAAAAGAAATACGGCGCTCTTTGTTTCTATGTCTTTTTTTTCCCTGTGTCCTTGCACTGCCCTTTCAAAATCAGTGTAATGAATGAAAGCTGAGAAAAATAATAAAACATGCAACGGAATCTCGGCTTTTTGTTATTTTTATTTTTGTTTTGAATAGCTTTGAGATGCTATTCACCAAACAGCCCTCGTTTCGCGTCCGCCTCGGTGGATTAGTCACTATAGGGTGCTACGTTGCTGACCCGAATGCCGAGGGTTTTATTGTGGCCGCGGCGGTCACATCTAGATGGAGGCGAAAAAGAAGATGCCCGTGTACTGCACAATGTCAGTGCACGTTAAAGAACACCAGAATGTCAAAATTTGCGGAGACCTCTTCTACAGCATTCCTCATATTCATATTGTGGTTTTTTACGTGAAGCCACACATACTACCACTGCTACTACTACTTGTCATTCCTGCATCGTGCCTTTGCCAACCCTGACAATGCTTAGCTAGTGTTACTATATACTACTACTAGCTACTACTATGACTACTACTACTACTACTACTACTACTACCCTGTTTTGCTTGCGTTCGTATTCTTGTCATTCCTTCGCCAACCTTCTTGTCATTCCTTCGCCAACAAAGTGACGATTGCAGAGGGCCTTATTCATTGATCTACTGATGCGAGCATTGTTAATTAGCAGCCTGCCTATACATGGTTGTCGTGGACAGCCAAATGAAACTGTAATGAACGATTTGACACTGTTTTGCACATTTTTGTACAAGCCTGCGTTATGGGAATGATACAATAAATTATCAAGGGGAATTGTACGCTGATTGCAGATTGTGTCCACACTGCTGACGACACAATATGCCATTTTGATATGCGGTTTCCTGTAACCCCTAATAACTTTTGCATTGATAATCAATGTACAGCCTGCGTCCACTCGTGCAAACGTGAAAAAAAAGACTGAACGTGAGGAGAACACTTAGGTGTACTAAGTTAATATAACGTCTTTTGTATAATATGGGTGATATATCTTGAGATGAAGATTTATAAGGGCATTCTCAGAATGGCAGAAGGAAAAACATATATTGCTGAACCAGAAAATCCACTTGTAACGCTAGAGCTGTTTTAGGCTTGGAGTAAGTCCGCCTAGTGTACACCATGGTCTGCCGTCTGACAACTCGAGCGGTAAAAGTTGTAAGATCCGATTGCCCTGTCAGCGAGACACTACATTCCCTTTGGTTGGAAAAGACGATGGAGGAAAATAGGTGATCAGTAAGAAGCCTCAACAAAAAGCATTTGTTGTTTAAAAGAAGCCCACATCAACATGTTCTAGAAAATTGTTATAAGGCTGCATGTTCCAAAAGCTACCATTTTGAAATTGTGTTTCACATGGTAATGAGCAGGGTGTCTGCCAACCTGGAAAATCTGGAAAAGTCGGGGAATTTACGAAAAACTTGGCCAAGTCATGGAAACTGACAGCAGTTCCATGTGACCGTCACAAAAATAAGCATTACCATTGATCAAAGCTTAAAAAGCCTCTCTTTTCACTACAGATACAGTGAGCTGCTTGAAGAGGTGTGAAAAAAAAAAAAGAAAGAGTGCATATTCACAGTGTAAATGCGGAAAGATACACTGACCCATGGAACACAAAGTTTACTGCCGTTTTAGCACCTGATATTAGAGGGAGCCTTGTTCACAATAAAAGCCGTAAGGTTAAGTACGCCTAAATACGCAGTGTAAGCAATGGGAATACATTATCAGAAGCATCCCACCACTCTTGTTCAGAGTATATACAGTTGTCTGTATCAAGATTCCAGGTGCACGCATGATGCAAGCTTCTTTTAAATGCGGAGCGTTTTATAGTCGCACCTACTCGCAAGTCCAGTGTTGGCAGTGGTGTCTCCACTCCTACTGCATATGCTCACATCTCGCGCCTGCTGCCTCATGCTCCCGTCTCATGCCAACTGTCGCACCCTCTCCCTCTCTCCTCCCAAGGCCGACGCAGGCAGCATCTGCTAGCAAAAACCGACTGCTCGCACTGCACAACTGCTCACTGGCCACTCCGCATATGTATACGCACTGGATCGGGCGTTCGAAATTCAGTCAAGGGCGTCTTTACTTAGCTTTTGCATGACTTGACGCTTTGCTTGACTCGAGTAGATGTGGTGGAAGCGGCAGTACCTTCAACCAGTAGTGGGCACAACCCAGCATCAGTGTCCCACCACTCGTTCAAGGCAACGCTTCTCCGTCATTCAATAAATACGAATAATAAATAATTGCCAGATCCCACGTATAGTGTAAATTGATGATATTCGAAGCACAAATGAGAAAGGTTGACATGTCACTTTAAAATCAGCACAAGCCTTCCATGTCATGATTATCATGTTTGGACGTGTCATTTACCTTCATCATCTATTCACATCACGTGATACCAAA